ATTCTTTGCAATAAGTGAATCAGGGGCAAAAACTACTTTAAGTCCAACATTCATTGTCGAAACACGTAAGTACAAGACATCAGAAAGTATAATTTTTCAAATGCTGAATGTCATCATTAGCACATTATTCCTGAAGTTCTGCTGTTGTCTCATAACACTCTAGGCACACCTGTATCTTTTACCACTTTAAATTACAGTGAATCTGTTTATGTGTTTCGCTTTCTTGTTAACCTATACATGCATCAGAGCAGAAATCATATCTTATTTGTTTTACAGTACCAGCTAGACTGGTGTCTGGTTCACAGTAAATTTAGGGGAACTGAATTTTGATACATGCTAACAGCAGGAGAGAAACAGACATGCACCGCGGACTTTAAGGGACTTACAGTGGAGAGAATGAGTAAAGCATAGAATTAAATGCAAACAAAACAGTATAGCAAAATATAATTACCTAAATTCCCAATCACTGGTACATTTAATAAATTCTTTCTGGAATTCAGAGGGTGGATGACAGGGGAAGATTCGTGGAAAGGAGAAGCTTAGATTCAGACTTGAAGGAAGAAAAGCATGTTGTGAGCAAAAATGGAAGTACGAATTTGTAGGAAAACAATAATGCAGATTGAAGAGGATTTTCTCAGGCATGAGGGTTAAAATCAGTTTGGTCGGTGGTGTCAGATTTAAGCACGCGAGGGGTCTCTGTCTCAGATGGTTGGACTTGACCATAGAAGCAAAGGAAATCCATGAAGGCTATAGTTTCTAAGACTTGCTTTACCTTTTACAAACACTTTTAATGCACTATTTCATTTCTCTTTATCTCAACACGGGGAGTAGCTATACTGAGAAATGGGAAAAACTGAGCTTCAGAAAGGTTAAGTAAACTGACTAGACTAACGTGCTTTGTTAAGCTACTCAGGAACCCAGATGGTTTTATTTTAACTCTTGAGCTTTTGCTTCTAAAGAAAGAATCAAGAAGAATGTGTGCATGTCTGTGTATTGGGAGGGTAGGGAACGGATATGGGTTTGAGACTATGTGCAAGGTGCTGTTTTAAGAAAATTAATCTGGAGGGATTAACTAAGAAAACCACTGGCACTGGATGAAATGGTTGGGAGTTGGAACATATTTCTGTAAGAGGATGAATGCCAGCATTCCGGTGATGTTAGGAATGGAGAATAAATGATACGAAGTCCCTGCCCTCTGGTCTGACGAGACTAAAGTTAAAGACCTATATGATAGGTGCTCACTGGATGCATTTTGGTGGTGCTCCTAATAATGATTGAACAGTGTTGTGTGTCAAACACTTTGCCAAGTGCTTTACACTCTTCGTCTCATTTAATCTTCATAATTTGACTATAATTCCCATTTTACATTAAAAGAAAAAAAAAACACCCTGAAGCTCAGAGAGTAATTTACCCAGGGAGTTGGAGATATAATTAGGAAGGGCCAGGGTTTAAATCCAGTTTTCCTTTTCTCTCCAAACTGGAGTATCATGGAAGTACTGAGCAGTGAGATTACTCAGCCAAACCGTATCACTAATATGATGTATTTCTCTGGTTTATTTTTAATCTATTTTTCTACTAGGTCCATTATCAGCCCAAAATGTCACAGTCACTCATGTGACCCCAACAGAAATATTTTTACACTGGGCTGCTCCAGAGCCCATGTCTCTTCATCACTATCTTGTGAGCATTTTGGATGTTGAGAACAATAAATCAGAGGAAGTATTTGTTGAAAAACTCAACACA